AAAGAGAGAGGATTGAGTGTAGTCTTCTTCCTCTCCGAGTGTCAGGATACTCACTGTAGTGTGCGTGGTCTTGATACTCGTCTTTCAATACGAAGACGCCTCGTTCGCCACACCTTTTTATAACAAAAACTTTGAGATAACGAATCGGGTACTACCCGTAGGGGTTACTATCCGAGGACCTGTCTCGCCCCCCTAAAAAACGATCCAATCAATCAAACGTGACTCCTTGCCCCGCGTGGCGAAAACTAATCAATCTTTCAAAAGGATATGTTACGTCCGTTCTACCGCAAACAGGTAATGCCTAAGTCTCCAACGAGTGAGCAGCAAAACACCTAACTGCTAGAATGCGCGCGATAACCTCATCCATAAAAAACATCAACACAACGTAGGCCGAACTACGACTGCTCTGATTCTTTACTTTTTTTCAAGTAAAGATACGTAGGCACAAGGGCCACAATCCTTGCCGAGCATATTCCCCCCTATATCTGTAGTTCCCCGAACTACGTCGACTCTGACTTTCTCACATCTATTGAGAATACGTAGGCATAGGACTGTGAAGTCCTACCGAGTCTGTTCTTTCTCTTCTTCCCCCCGTTATCTCTCTATCCCTCCTTTCTTCGTTTCTAAACCCTTCTCTCTATCTTTTAGAACACTCTTTTTTATAGCATAATATTTAAGCAGATAAATTCACACATCGACAAACAAAAGGTTCCCATCGAGTACGATGGATGCGAGGGGTGCTAATACCTTCCCCTTGCATAACCGGCTTCCGAACCCGTTCTTGGTTGCGAGACCATCTTATCCATTTCTTTCTTAAGGTTTTCTCGATATTTTCCTTTCCCCTCATGGGATAAATAAAGTTCGGTGGCGACTCTTCTGTCCTTTCTTTTTCGCCTCCCCGTCGTTGCGCGATGCATTTTTCGAGTAGCGACAGCAGCGTCGATGTCGCCATTCAGGGTCACCACGGATCCACGCCTTGTATAGTATTTCATTTTTAGGTGGACGGTGGAGGGTACCGCGGTGAGTTCTACCATTGTCCTCCTGCCTAGGATACACTTGTAAAGGGACGGACACTCGATGACCAGGAAGCGGATATTGATCTCCCTGGCGGTTTCATCCTCCCCGAATGTGACTTTTAGCTCTATGTATCCCCACGGTCTTGTCGTTGTCCCGTTGAACCCTTGGAGGTCAGAGTCCACGTAGGGGGATAGGTTGTATTCGTCGAGTTGGAGGGTCGTGAAGAGGTGGGTGTACATGATGTCCACCGAGCTGCCTCCGTCGACCAGGATGCGTCTGACATCGAAGTTTGCCATCTATCCCCGTATCAGTAGGGGAATGTTGGAGTTGGGAGAGCCCCCGGGACGTTCCTCGAGGTAAAAGGTGATCAGATTGGATCGACCGCGGAATTTGTCGAGAGTGCTCATCTTGTCGGAGTTGCTTGTAATGAGCTCTTCGAACTTTCTCTTTACCGATCCTACAGACAGGTTCCTCGGGGGTCCGCCGGAGATGACCATGGCTCTTGGAAAGTATTCCCATCGACTGGTGGGGCGTACCGGCTCGTCGGGCAGATCAGGGTCGTCGGGGAGGCCGAATTCTCTATGAGCGAACCAATCCTCGGGGCGGCTGACGCAGAGGGCGACCTGGATGCCGTTGTCACCGTCCAAAGAGGGAAGCTCTTCGACTTTCTTGGCCTCGGGAGCGTCTTGCCTCGGGGTTTCTCCTCGCCGGATGTATCTCTTCAGGTGGCCGCCTTTAATCAGGATTTTGATCGCGTCCTTGAGGTGGATGCAATCCTCTGTAACGTGCCCGTGGCTCCTGTGGAAACGACAGTACTTTGATTTGTCCACGTTGGGTTTGGGGGGTGTCGGTCTGGGGAAGCAGACACCTCCTTGGACGAATTTGGTCTTGGCGCATTCGGCCAGTATGCGCTCGCGGGAAGCGACTAGGGCTGTATATTCCGTGAATCGGTCGGCGGGACCGCGCTGCTCACGCTGTTCTCTGGGGAGATCCTCCCTTCGGCAATCGCCTCCGCGCCGGTGGCTTGAAGCTCCGTCCTCTCGATGCCCGCGGGGGGTCTCCTTGTCTCGTGTGTCTCAGGAGGAGTTGGCCGCTTGGATTTCCTCGAACCGGATATAATGTGCGGCTCTGTCGAGGAAATCCTGTAGAGAGGCTGGTCGGTGTATGCCCACGACTTCGTAGAACTTGGAGTCGCGACGCAGGCCCTGCTCCATTAAGTAATGCTTCATTTTGTCTGACGTCGTTACCTGTACCGCTTTCCGCGTGAATCTTTCGATGTACTTCCGAAGGGGCTCGTCGGGAGCCTGGATTATCGCGCCGATGGCGGCTTCCATCTTCGGATGGCGCCGAGATGCTGTGAAGTGTTTCGAGAACAGGTCTTTCAGAACCTTCCATGACGTAACCGATTCGGGCTCCAGACTTTTGTACCACGTCATGGCACCTTTCCTCAGCGTCGTCGGGAATAGTCTGCATTTGATAGCTCCTCAGACATTTATGTAGTCGAGCATGGCCTCGATGTCTTCTAGGTGATCGTCTGGGTCGGAGGTACCGTCGTATGTCTAGAGTGCCAGGGGCTTCTCCATCCCGTGGGGGATGGGGGCGGCCATGATTTCCCGGGACAGAGGAGTCTTGTAGTCGTCTTCGTCGCTGAGAGCGGGCGACCGAGGGGGAGATGGGCCGTTTGGTGGCGGCATCTGATTTCGGGGCCTCAACCTCCTGACCGGGGGTTCGACGTGCGAAGGTCGGGCCGGTGGCTCTGCTCTGTTTTGCTGTCTCCCTCGAACTTGTCTCGTTGGGGATCTAGTCCGCTCCCGCACTGCTTCGGGTTGGGGCCTCTCCAGCCGGGGTCGCCGATCCCTGGGACGAGGTGAAGGGCTCCTCGAGGTCCCGTTCTGGTCTTCCCGCGGACGGGACCTCAGTGGGACCTCGCGTTCTAGTGCGCCAATCCGTGCGTTCTGTTGAAATAACAGCCGATTCGTTTGATTGATGGCCGCGAAGAGGGTGGCCACCGTCGGGTCCGCTCCGTCCGGGACAGGAACATGCTGGAACGCTGCTGGGCTCCGGGGTCGGTGGACAGCCTGGTGTGCAGCTTCCGCGGACGAGGGTGAGGCGGTCATGCCGTCCCTTTCGTCGGTCTCCGGTGGATGGGACGTCTCCGTTTGCTTGCTGCCGTTCGCGGAAGGGTTGAGGACGAAGTTGTGAATGGCATCGTTGTGGTGTGGGCTAGCCATGATCGTGGAGTGTTGGTGAAACTTTGGTTCGCTGCTCGGAGGAACAGGGGAGTTTCAGGTTCCCACAAACGGCGCCACTGATCTGACCTGATCAAAAGGGGATCTCTAGCTGGCCACACTCTATTTGGCTATTGCCTGTTCACCAGTGATGAGGAGGAGGAGGGGTGTGTGCCTGCAGAGCACTTCGATGCCAAAGTAAGAATACGAGCAAAGTGGTTACAAGTACAGAAAAAGGGGTAAGAAGTGAGTTACCTGACCCTCTTGTGGAAGAGGGTATTTATAGAGAGACCCCAACGCTGGGCCAACAGTCACTTGTGTTAGACTGGATGGCCAGGCCCAACCCAGGTGACTGTTAGGGCTTACGTGGCATAGCGAAGACCAGGACAAGGTCTTCGCCCTAGTCCAACTGTCTCGTGGTCTCCGGAAAAGTGGGTTTGGCATGCCCTTACGGAGGTGGGCAGTTGGCTGGTGACGTGTCCCCGCGGAGGAGAGCACGTGGAGAACGTGCACATGGCACGTTGTTCTCCCTGCGGAGGGGAGCTCGCGAGGTTCCCCGGAGGTGTGTCGTTCTCCCCGCGGAGGGGAGCACACGAGGGCGCGGGAGAGACACGTTGTCCTGCTCGACGGTATGAGGATTCTGCCCGCGGAGGGCTGTTCCGCTCGATGAGGGGCAGCGATTGGCAGCGCCTTCCCGCGAAGGAGAAAGCGCAGAGGGTGTCCTGAGGCACGTGCCCTGCCCGTCGAGGGGTCACGTGCCCGACCATCCTACTTAAACCATGTTGGGCCTTTATTGTGTATCATTGGGCTGAGCCGCGAGTTGAGGCCGGAGCCCAGGCCAGAACACAGAATAATAAGAGATAAATTGTAAACTAAATTATGAAAATTAAGATTGAGTGAAGTTCTATGTTTACATCATACAAATCCCTTTATATAGGTGACTAAAATCCAAACCCAAACTAACGCAAACCTAAAACGTAAAAATGTAAAATATAAAATCACAAGTTACATTTCGACTAACCGCTTCGACTCAATCGAATGCTAACTCTCAATCAAAACATCAATTACACCTTCTAACATTTCTTAATCGAAGTTTGCCGTTATAATCCATTCCATTTGACTAATTTGTTTTTCTAAATTTAACAAAAAAAAATTAAAAAACTTTTATATTTTTCATAAATATAAACTGATTTGTTTTCCTAAATTATAATCTAACGGTTTTAATTATTTTATCCCATTTAAATAAAAGTCATCATCAAACACGTGCCCGCGCGTGGTATGTATGTATGCTAAAATATGTTAGGACCAGTGTTGAAACCAGAAGAGGACTCACTTCCCTTCCCGTGTTCTTGCACGAGATATGTTACGAGTTGAGTCATATTCTCACCTGTAACTCTAATTCGTAGCCAAATCTCAGCCACAGATAGTATTGCCAAATAGAAAAAAAAATATACATAAATCTTCTACATTTTTTGTCTTTTTCTTCTTATTATCCTATCCTCTCACCGGTCCCATCAACTTCACCGGAACAAAGATAGTACTTGTAAAAAAAAAACGAAGAAATACACTAAACTATATAGTACAGTATTAATAAAATCATCAAATAATAAAAAAATATCCAAATTCGAATAAACTATTAATCTGTTTCGTTTTAATCGTTACGCAGTGTGAAACACAGCTCCAACTACCTCATTCCGTTTCCGGCATGCATAACCACCGTAACCGTCGCCGTAGTCTCTTCTGAACTAAATTAGCATGGCTTTAACGTTAACGTCAACTTCGACGCACCTTCGTTTTCAACCCTTACTCTCGCGCACCAACTACTTCATCTTCTCCGACCTTACCGAATTTCGTTCTCTTGAAACACGGAATCATGATTCTCTCACTCTTCTTCGCCGAAGAAAGATCTCCATTGCGTCACAATCGGCTCTGAAGCCGGTGAAATGTAGTAGATCCACGGAGGAGAAGCAGTGGAGTGAGGCGGAATCCGTCGCATCTGACGCCGATGAAGCTTTGGATGATTCGAATGGTCCGGCTCTGAGGCAAACTTCTTCTATTGAGCCTCAGAGGATTGCAACTACCTCTTCAGGCGATTCTCCTTCTCTCGGAATTCGAGAACCTGTTTATGAAGTTCGTTCTGTTGACCTCCCTTTTCTCTCTCGATCTATCTTTAATAATGATTCTTAATTTAGAAATTATGTTGTGGATTTTTGGCAATTTCATTACTACTTCAGTGAACTAAAACCCTAGGAAGCTTCTTAAATTTTGTTGCAGCTTCTCTAGTGTTACTAATTTTGGTTTTCTTACTCTTTTCTCTCTCTATTTCTATACTTGTGAAGGTTGTAGAAGTGAAATCAGACGGGGCAGTATCGACTAGAAAAATCAACAGGAGACAATTATTGAAGTCCAGTGGTGAGTTAAATCAATTGATAATAATTGAGCTAGTATTGTATCATGTTCTAAGTAGCCGAGTAGATTTTTTTATCATGGTAATATTTGTAGTGTAATTTGCATATTAACTATATTTTGATTGGCCATTAGCACCTATACATCGTGCTATCTGTTATTTTATATTTATTTTTGCAATGATGTCATCAGTTATTGAACAATGATATCCTATTTATATCATTAATTGTTTTTGTTTACATTTTATATTTGACGAGCGTCCAATTATTAAGGCCTTCGTCCCCGGGATGTCAGAAGTGTGGATCCATCACTGTTTTTGACAAATTCAATGCCTTCTTTGCTGGTATAACATTTTCCTCCTCTATCATCACTTAATACCTTGTGGTACTTGTAAATACTCACTGAAGTTTCGTGAAGATGTCCATGGAGTGCTCTTTGTATTATTATTATTATAAATATGGGTAACTTTACTTAACATATGTTTGTTATCGAACTACGCCCTATCTTATGCTGTTGTTGCTGATAAAAAGTTAATCAATAGATACACACTCATAAAGATTAATCTACTTCACACACATGCACATTCGTTTTGTTTCAGAAAGTTTACACCATATGTGGCATAGGGGAATACACAACATCAATATCAAGTTCTGTCCCTAACGATTCAATTTCATGGTTTTGTGTTAGGTCCGTGAGTATGCCATACTTCTAAACCTAGGTTCGCTACGAGCAATAGCAATGCAAGATTGTGTGCTTATATTTGACTATAATCGGTATTGTTTTAATCTTAAATAATTCATATATTATAGGATGCATTATTGTCGCTATTTCTTTGATAAAGGAACGCCAAACTAAAAACTTAATTTCTATCTCTATTGATTTTTTACCAGTAAAGGTGGGCAAGCTTTTCTAGACACATTGCTGCCTAGGTTGAACCCCAAGAACAACAATGGAGGACCATCAATGCCATTTGAAATTGAGGTCTGTTGGAATTTGCTTCTCCATTTAACATTCTAATTGTTGCTTTTCAAAACAAAAAAAAAACATGCTAAATTGCTAATTGTTGAATTGGAGGAAAAATAGAATAGAGTTATATTCACTCCAAGCACAGTGTTGTGCACTAATGCTATGTTTCCTAATTCATTTTCTGCTACATTACATCATTATGAAAACATGATGATTTTCAGTACTATATGACAAAAGAAAGATTTCAATATGGTTTATTTTCAAGGGTTGAATTATGATAGTTAGTCTCAGACCTGAGTCAACTTAATAGCAGTGTCAAATTAAGATTCATCTGTTCTTATGAGATAAAAGAAAGAAAAGGAAAACTAAACTGAATTTGGTTATTTTTCATGGGTTGGGATATGATAGTTAGACTCCGGTCTGAAAAAACTGAATAGAAGAATCATTATGAGGATACATTGATTTACAGTCCTATAAGACAAAAGAAAGAAAAGAAAAGCTGATTTGCATATGATTTATTTTCAAGAATTGAAATATGATAGTTACACTCAGGTATGAATCAACTTAATAGCAGTACTAATATAAAATTCAGTCATCCCTAATTTTATTCTGAGGAAAGACTATAAACAAGAGAAATAGATAAGTATACGCAAGGACATATTTATGGCCCAAGGTTTGGAAAGGGTAGAATTGGTGGTTATAGTGGATGTCTAGAAATAAAAAAATAATGACACTGTTTTATCAAACAAAATGGTGCATAAGGGTAAAAGATGTGGCAGAAGGATCTAAAGATGGTAACAATTCCAATGCAGAAAGCTAAGAAAAGTGTGGCCTTAAAAGTCAGGTGCCGGAAGAGAAAGTATATTGGAACCTAAACTGGTCATGACTTTTGAGGAGTAGATTTCCAAGCAACTGGGTTTAAGTCTTGTTCCCTGTGGCAAATACCCCCTTTAAGAAACTAAAGGTATTTGATATTACAGTACATACTAACATTCATCTGACCAGTGGGTTACCATGGGTGTAATTTTGTTCTCATCTACTATGTTAAAGAGTCACCGCCCACCTTGCTTGTCAATGTCATTGTAGGCATACTATTGTGAACTGTCTTCCACTCTTCCTCCTAGTTATCATGTTTGAACTTTCAGGTTGTCGAAGCAGCATTGCTTTCAAGAATACAACGTTTGGAGCGGAGACTGATGGACTTAGAACCTCGTGTGAGTATGGAAACACAGTGAGTAACTGAGTATGTTTATGTTGATTCTTTGTGGTATGTGTGTTTTTGCACATGTGTTAGTTTGTCTGTTTTTTTGTTCCTATGACTTTGATAAGCCAGTTGTTTCTAAACCTTCACGTAGGGGTGGCAAACATGCCCGCCCCGTTTAGGCCCGCAAAAAAGCGGGGCGGGATGGACATGGTAGAGGGTGTTGGTCTAAAATTTTGGTCCGCCCTGCTAAAAAATAAGGGCGGGGCGGACCCGACAGACCTTGCATCCCTAAAGCCTAAAAGTTGCAAAATTCGTGTTAATACCCGCGGCCACAAAAGCCTGTAAAAATATGAGGCTGGGAGGGGCATACATAATAGAGGGTGTGGGACTAAAACCTTGATCTACCCTGTCAAAAAATGCGGGCAAAACGGGCATGCCTGGCAAAACGGATCCATTTTTCTACCCCTACCTGCACGTGAGCAAAAACTGATTAAAAAACTATGGGTTTTAGCCACTACTTCTGTGTGATGTTTTCCTGCCACTTCTTCATGCAGACATTGTATAAGATCTTAACAGTATTATAAATGACATTTCACGAGGGCTTCTAACATATTTTATTTAGCATGTTTGCTTGATTTAAAGATTGTGTAAAAAGTGATTTGTTTTTTAAAGCTTTGACATAGAAGCTGTCTTTTCTTTTTCCAAAGTAAAAGTAATATTTTATGAAAAGCTGAACTCAACTGGCTCTTTCTATAGCACATATCTAGTGGCAGAAACTTCCTTGCTGAAATATTTTACGTAGTAAATTGATTTTTGCCTTCTTGGTTCATAAAAGATTATATATTTTCACCTTTTTTCTGACTCTGAATCCTCTACCTGATTGGGATAGCCATTTTGTCTTCCCCTACCCCTGGCCTTAGGTTCAAGCTCTTCTTGAGGCGTTGCCAAATCGGATAACTGGAGACATATTGGAGCAACTTCGTATTAGCAAACAAACTTTGGTAATTTCTTCTGACTTTTTTCTCGCTAATCTGCTGTGGTTCTGGGAGAAAACAACTAGTTTTATTTGCTTTCTGCCAAATTGCTAGGTTGAGTTAGGCTCAAGGGCAGGAGCTCTCCGGCAGATGCTTCTTGACCTTCTGGAGGACCCAAATGAAATACGACGGATGTGTATTATGGGAAGAAACTGTACACTTAATAAAGGAAACAATAATGTGGAATGCTCAGTGCCCTTAGAAAAGCAGGTTGCTGATGGTAAGCTGTGAAATATGGAGACATCGATACAGATCTGCTCATTCTGCAGATGACTTTACAAATTAGTCCTTCTGTCTCATAATAAATGTCTTATTTAAGCTATGCGTTGTTCTCAAGAAAATGAATAGATATGTTAATTTTAATGATATATAATTATTAAAATACCATTTTTAATTATAGTTAGTAGAATAGTTGAATAGAGTGAAAGTTAATAAATAAAGGTATTATAGTGAAAAAAAAGCTATAAATATCGTATTGATATTGTAAAGATGACTTTTATTTTGAGACAGAAAAAAAGTGCAAATGAGACACTTTTTATGAGACGGAGAGAGTACAACATAGTATCTCATTTGTTTTCTCTCATGATTTGTAGAGGAGGAGGAGGAAATTGAAATGCTTCTGGAAAATTATCTCCAAAGGTTATTCTCATTCTAAACTTGTGCAATACTTTTCATAATAATTATTGTGTACTCGTGTGAGGATGTATATATGATATTTGTAGCATACTATACAACAATGTTGTATGCCTTCACGGCTTTTCTTATGTCAAATTTAAGAAGGCAGTAGTCAAAACACTAGCATGGTGGAAACATGTTGAAACCAAGAATCTTATGCTTTTACTTGCCATTAATATCCAGAAATCTCTCTTATCCATTTTGCAATATCTGAAAGGAATCTGCATTATGAAACAAGTCTCTTAAAGTTTCAAACTCGACATTGATGATTCTGACAAAGGCTAATTACTTTTTCTTTTGTAATAAGTTTAACATTTTTAATGATATTTCGTCTCAAAGTTGACTTCTATGTATA